AGGTCACAAGCTGCCTGGACAACCTCTTAGGCAGCATGTCTGGTAGCCCCCAAGGATCACAGTAGGATGCACTGGACTTCTGATTTTCCTTTGCCGGATTTCCCGAAGACCACCGTATTCTTTCCTTTCTTTGAGTGCCTCTTATTCAGGACTACCTTCATTTTTCATCTTTATACCTATCACATTTTTATTGATCCTCTATTATATGCAAGATGCTACCCATTGGGGAGGTATGGTAGGTCCAGTGTTTGTACTCAGAGAAATGAGACTGACCTCAGTGCCAGGTGAGTGTGGAGGACTCATGAGAGGGACAGAAGGATCCTGGTGACTTCCAGTTGAAAGTGCTCTTGAGGAGGAATTGTGGTGGCTTCTTGAGAGATGGGTGGGATATTTATATCCACAAGCAAACACAGGAAAGTGACGTGTCTCGGGAGCATCACACGCCCACTTTTTACTGAGTTACATAGCTGTGCCTTACAATATGTAAACCCAGGATTTCGTGGAAGGCAGTGTTTTGTGCTTGGATCCTCCAGTATCCCTGAGAAGAGTTTGGATTATTGCCACATTTTTCTGGCTTTGAACAAAAGACTTTTAGCCATAGCCTGGAGCTATATGTTCTTCCAGCAAGGTCTCAGTTCATGATTTCTGATGCAGCCAACTGCATTAGAGTGCTGGCAGAAGCTGGAGGAACTTTATCTATGAAGTGTTCACCCGCAGCAGACTAGTTAGGACAGGGATGTGGTTATCATCAAAGTGAGCACCTGGGATTGGTTAGAAGGCTCAGGCATGTGACATTTTGGGATCATTCCTGTGCATTAAGTTAAAAGACCCTGGTCATCTTGGGTGATTCCAAGTGATCTTGGAATTGTTGGCTTGGGGTGTCTGTCTGAGGATGGGGAAAGGCAGTGAGATTTTTAAGGCAGGAGAAAGTCAGTCCTGATAGGCTGTGGAACACGGGATGAAGGTGATCGTGGGGTCCCATGGTGTGGTTCCTCACAGTGATAAGAGGCTGGCTGAGATGGAAATGGAAGAGCTCCAAGACCACAAGAATATATGGAAAATATATCTTGGCGTGGCAGCAGATTTAGGATCAGATGGAGGTTCTAGTGTTCCTGTTCTGATTGCCAGTAGCTCCATGTCCCCCGATACTTCCCAAGTCACCTCTCCTATGTGTCCCTCCCCCTCCCCACACCCTGTGAACTTGACCCAAAGAAGAAAGGAGGTGACCCCTTCAGAGAAGTAACACACACAGCCATGAAATGGGAGAGCTGGGACTGCAGCCTTAACCTAGGCAGCTAGAGTTGAATCAGCAAGAAACAGGAACAACTCCCAAAGCATGACACCCTTCCAGACTGACCCAGCAGAAAAGGAGATGCCAGTCTCGGATGCAGAACCTCCAGGATGGCAACTGGAAGTGAACATGTGCCCAGAATGGATCTGAGGCAGCAGTGAGCCGGGGAGGGCATGGGGGGGGGGTCTAAGATGCACAGGAAGGTGCTTCCCGGGTCCTCAGGTGGGGGAGGGTGCTTGGGGTAGACTGGGGAGGGAAGCACAAAATGCAGCCTGGGAGAGGTCAGCTGTACCCCCAGGAGGAGCCCCCTGGTCAAATCAGACCTGCCCACCCTTCAGCAGTTTCTCTCCCTCTCCCTCTCCCTCTCCCTCTCCCTCTCCCTCTCCCTCTCCCTCTCCCTCTCCCTCTCCCTCTCTCTCCCATTGCATCTGGCAGGCAGGTCCGCAGGCAGATGTGACTGTGGAGTGACCCTCCCACAGTTCCTGTGTCCCTCTGGGGACACAGGAATGGACCTGCTGGCTGTGCAGGAGCCCTAACACCATCTCCTCCTCCAGGAGCTCACGTTGGAGCAAGGTTGCACAGAACCCTGATTCACGCCTTCTGTGCACAGCCCTCCAGAGTCCTGAGAAGCTCAGGCTGTCACAGCGCGCGTCCATGGGAGCCTGCAGCCCCAGCTCCCCCCTTGCAGAGCGCTTAGGTTGGAGTGGAATTCGCAGCTTTGAGAGCAGGAAGGAGAGGGAGCTCCTGCTTCTTTCAGACTCCAAGAACAGCTGCTCAGTGGCTGCAAATGTCAGACAGGGACAGCAAGGCATCCTGTGGCTTCTGAAGGAACTCTGTTGTTCCCCAGAAAGCCAGCAGGATGACACGCACACTCTTGTCACTGACACAAAAGCTCTGAAGGTCACTGAGTGCCATTTGTTTTCAAGACTGCCCCAGGTCTGGTGTCCCCCTGACCTTCTCTGGAAGCCGCAGATGCCCTGAGCCTGTCTCCAGCAACCTGGACACCCTGTGCCTCTCTGCCCCAAATTGCCAGCCTCTCCTCAGGAACGCTGGGTGCACCCACCCACTGCAGACCAAAAGCATGACTTGCTCACTCTGTCTCCCAGCCTCTGCCAGGCAGTAAATTGAACACCACACAGGGAAGAAGTGGTCCCTGTGCCTGAAGCTGAGGGGGACCAGGGGCTGCAGGAGCACCACACCCACACGCCAGCGACCAGCTTTCAGTGAATCCCAAGCCTTTCTGTGGTGTCTGCATCCAGCATCACAAGATAGCTGCAGTTTCATGAGGAAGGTGTCAGAGGGTCTTAAAAAGGGGTGGGCTGCCTGCCCTTGGAGAGGCAGTGTGGACTTCGGGTAAGAAGTCTTAAGGGTCGAGAAGGTGTGTTCACATCGTCTACCTCTTTCCAATGGTGGTGGACATTTTAATTCTGCTTGTATCTGTCACCTCTTGCATGTTCTCTCTCCCTGCCTTCCTCCCTCCCCTCCCCACTCCCCTCCCCTCCCCCTCCTCCACTCCCCCCCCACTCCCCACCACTCCCTCCCCTCCCCCTGACCCTCTCCTCTCCTTCTCTCTTTCTCTTAGAAATTAACCCCAGGGCTTTTTCACTGAGCTGGAACTTGTGATCTTTCTGCCTCAGCCTCCCAGAAGGCTGCTAGGCTGATAGGGATGACACTGCCTCCAATAGAATAATCCATCAGAAATTCATAACTTTGTTCGGCACACAGACATGCATTTGTTATCTCAGAGTGACTTACTTGTTTGTGTGTCCTTTACTTTTCCTAAGAAATGGCAGCATTGGGGGAGCGGCAGGGTCCGTGGAAGACAGAACTTAATTTTACCAACTAACCGTCCTACTCGGGTGTTGATGAATTCACCTAATTTGGAGCTTCTGACAGCTTTATGAAGGTTTAATTTGTATGCTGTAAATCGCCAATTCCAAGACTTTTAATATGTTTGCCAAGCTGTGCAACCCTAACCACAATCTAATTTTAGAACATTTTTTTTTCCCGTCCCAGGAGGATCCTTCCTGTTACCCATTTGCAGTCCTCCACCCCCTACCTCCAGCCTCATTTAATTCTGGATTTGACATCCTTGATTTTTTTCCCCAATGCTCACAGTACAGTGTCAGCTGAGGTTCTAGCATATTCCAAATGACCTGTGGTGATGTTAGTGTATGTTCCTCTGTGCCTGGCTCTATCCTGTTTTGGGACCTGTGAGCTTTGTGCCTGCCTGTTCTCTTGCTTTTTGTTTTGAACCGAAATAGAGGTGGCAAGCTCACTGGGAGATTGGCTAGCAGAGGATACCAGAGCCAGATGCTTCCATGTCTAACTTGGTAGAGTGCATGCTTCCCAAATTCAAGCCACAGAATTTATGCTAGGACACAGGAGAGCTGGGCGTGAGAGTTCACCTCATTTGTTCCTGGATCATTTGGCAACTTTCCATCACCTGATCACTTAGAAATTGGGAAAAAAGAGAGAAAAACAGAAGGAAATGGAACAGAGAGAGATGCGATGTGAGGGGCAGTGGAGGGGGAGGGGAGAGAGAGGAAGAGGAGGAGAAGAGAGGAGAGAGACGTTCTCTGAATGAAACACAAATGCTGTAGTTTTTGTGTTCAGCTTTGGCTCAGGCTAACTGCTGGATTCATTTCGTCTCATCCCTTTGGTTCCGCCGGTGATCAGATAGCTACAAACCATGTGTCCCTCCTCTGTAATGTTGGGTACAGAAGTGTTTTGTTTCCGTATTGTTTGGGATCTGAGGGTCCTGTATTTGCACGAGGATCATGAGGTATCTTGGGCAAGGGATCTGAGTGTGAACCTGAAATTCGCTTGCTTCCTGTAAACTTTACACAGCCAACCCAAAGGAAGGTCTCTTTAGAGCATGCGTTTGGTGCCTGTGAGTTTTGATTGCTGGGGGCATTATTTATGACAAGAAGTTTTGGGGTTAGCCTATTTTTGGTTTGAGGTTTGCAGATGACGGACATTTACACTACATTATTTTTACATTGTCCCTTTCATCCTTTCAAGCCTTGGAGGTGGCCGGGAAGGATGCATGCCCCAGCCACAGTTGAATAATCCTTGCTCACCTTTCTTGAAGGGCCACCTAGAAACACTTTCTGCTTGTAGCTGGCATACAATGTGTGATCAAAATTCACGGTAGATGTGTAGATTTGAAGCCTGTAGACAGAAAAAGACACATTGTGATTAATCCCCCTCAAACCCTTTCCCTTCAGCATTCTAGCCACTTTTTGAAGCACGTCTGGAATCCTCCTTCCTGATAGACTTAAGCTGAGCAGGTTTGACTACCTTGATGTCTCGAATTGATTTTGGGCATTGACATTTCGGGGTCATTGTGACTTTGGGGAAGACCCAAAGGTGGTTCTGTGCCGGATCTGGCGAATAAGGTGGATAAAGGCACAGTATCGTGTTTTTGAAGCTTGCTTTTCTGTTGGATAGCACTCAGCACCATTCATTGTGTCTCTGATCACAGTGTGTAGGATGCTCATGCAAGAGGACTTGCAGAACTGCTGCAGAAGTTACCAAGAGTGATGAGACAAATATGTGCAAAGAAAGGGGGAGACTGTGAGAGGGCTTCTTGGCAATGCCATCTTTCACTGTAACAAGCTGTTCCTAAATTTTAACATTCAGTGTATGTCTGCAGCATATGGAAGGATGATCTTTAGTGATATGCTCTCTGTATTTTGAACCACAGGCAAGTCCATCTGGAAAACCTTTTACTTCACACCCAACTTCACTCCGGAGGGTGCCAATGGGTGCTTTGCCACACATGTGTGTTTATGTTTCGGAAAGCACATCACCCATCACGACCCGCCTTTGCTGTTCGACCTTTCCAGCGATCCACAGGAGACAAACCCGCTGACGCCGGCCACGGAGCCCCGTTACCATGACATCCTCCGAGCCATGCAGGCAGCGGCAGACGACCACACCAGGAGCCTGCAGAAAGTCCCCAACCAGCTGTCTATGTGGAACTTTTTCTGGAAACCGTGGCTCCAGCTCTGCTGCCCCTCAGCCTCCTCTTCACTGTCTTGTCAGTGTGACCGAGAAAAACAGGGTCAAAGCATGAGCAATTAGCCATGAGCCGCTCTGTGCCTGGAGACGGGAAGCACGCACGTGGCTGGGTTCCCCATCTTCATCGCCGATGCTGTGTCTTACCTTGCTACCTTGGAAATGTACCCATTCCTTGTCCTATCCCTGGAAGTCATGAATGGGACATCCGTGCTCACCCAGCTGGGGATTGCTTCCAGGGTCTGCAGGGGAACAGTGATCAACAGATATCTTCCGCAGCCATGTTCTTTGGTCTTGGTGTCAGCTGAGTGGATGTGACATTCACTTCTTATTGAAGACAAGGCGGGGCAAGTTCAAGGGTGACTTCATCCATCCTCCCACTGAGGGGATAAGATGTCATTTCCTTGTTCTCTTCAAGTTGTTCTGGAACCTGAAAAACTAACCAGCACAGCGGCACACAGATGGTCACATTCCCAGACTTTAGTAGATGCTAATGTATTCAGGTTTATAACAAATGAAAGCCCGACCTCTTTCCCGTTCAAAGAGGATGGCAGGTTCCTATTTGATTATAGGAAGTTAACTCAGTATTATTGTTATCGCAACACGTATTAAATGCTTTTCACCACATAGATAGAAGCACAGATACACGGATACACGTATGTACACAGTTTGTTTTCTTGAGAAGGTTAAGATGGGTGGGGAATCTCAGTGTTCATTACTAGTTAAGCAATAAAAGCTCCTCGATAAATTTGGGCAGTGAATCTATTGCCAAATCTTTCAACCAAAGTAAGCCCAAGACAGAGCCCTCCTGAACTTACTTCTAGTATATCACCCGTAGTATATGTCACTCTCCTATTTTGCTGTTTGGCAAGTGAGACTGGGAATTACAAGGAAATAGGAGGATGCTACCTTCCCAGGGATCTCTTGGAACATAATTCAGAATTACTAACATGGAAACCGTATGTTATCTGGGGTCCACACAGCATGGGGCACATGTCAGCCATGATTTATCAGCATGAAAGAGATTATCTTGACTTTGAGGCATGAACCAATGAGGAGAAATCAGTAGGTAATGTTGGTACCTACTTGTGGTTTTTGTTTTTAGTCCCCGGATGGAAGAACTTGACTTGGGATCAACCATGAGATGTGTGATTTTGTGTTAATCCCACTTCTCCCAAACCTCAGAACTTTTGGGAAAATCGGAACCAGGTCACGTAGGAGATGAATGAGGTGATAGATTTCCAAGTCTGCCTGGGGTACCATTTCTCCAGCCTTGGAACTGGAAGTGTGGTTATTTCTTTGCACATCCTCTCAGAAAATGATTAATGCCTTTATGGACAAATGGACAAGCCAGAGTGCACCAGAGTACCGGTCCTCTGTCAGTTTGGGGGATGTGTGTGGTCATCCTGTTTGCCCAGCATAGACCATGCAGGGAAATGGGGTGATAGAGGTCTCTTGGATGATTGGAGAGATATGGATGCCTGTCTTGGGCTTTCTGAAAACTGATCATAATATCATGAATTCCTCTACAAAAAAGCCACCCAAGAGTCCACAGCATTTCCCCAGTAGCTCTTATTTTAATTTTTGCTTTTTTTTTCCTGGAAGAGAAATCAAAAAAAGAAAGAAACAGAAGAAATGATGCCAATACCATTGTGTCCCTGGACTTTTTAACACTGCAAAATGAACCAGATTTTTCCTGTTAACATGCATTTCTTACCCTGGAAATTGTGCAAAATATGCTGTTTTGTTGCAGGAAGTATTCTTAACCAAAGACTGGACGGGGATGTTGATGTGTGTGGAGATTATTCCTAAAAAGCATCAAAGAAACCCATGACTTCTAAACTCAGACTTTAGGATGTCATTGCTTATTGAAGAAGTCCGTGCAAGCGGACTTTTAGGACACTCTGAAGGGTGTGGGGATGTCTGCTGTGGATTCTGCCACTAGAAGCACTTTTATAGATGAGACTGTAGACCCGTTGGGGTACAGAATTAGATATTTAATGTGTGAGATGTTAAGAGGGCGTGAAACACAATATATACCTCTCTCAGCACAGGAACTGAGCTTGAAAGTGCCTCAAAGTAACTGAGACCACTATTACAATTCAGGGCATTTCAGAGACGTGTTGATTTCCAATAACCATAGTGACCATAGATTTCAAACTTGTAACCATCTCAAGGTTTTGCTTTGAATGTATACAGGAAATTTGATTATTTGGAAGGGAGAGGGGCAGCCCAGGAGAGGTGTATCAAAGCTTGAAGGCACAGATGCTGTTCGTTTTTATAATTTTGCAGAGCCTTAAGATATGGTTCCATAGTTTCAAAGCTCCCTATTGATATCATTGCTTCGGCTCTGTATTCAACTGTTAATGCATTCTGAAGCTTTGGGTGAGTTCTTCACAAAGAAATTCGTATTCCTCATGTTAATGTTGATGCCAAAGTTAAGCAAACAGCTCAGTCTTGCATGCACTGGCATCGTTTTTACCAGTCTTTGGCATTGCAAGAAAAATAAACTTGTAAGTGCCATATGTATGTAAGAGAGAACTTAAAAGAGGAGGCCAATGTTTTAAACTTCCCTGGATAACATGCAATATAGAACGGGCAAAAAACAGTAAGTTTCAAATTTAAAAAAAGCCACATGCACACACTCACACAGGGATAGTGTTTGGCCCATTACCCCAAAATGCTGCTTTCAGAATGATTGCATCAGATGTAAGGATCCTTAATCACATGCTAATGCAAAGCTGAATAAAATGCTTCTTGCAATTAAAAAGGTTGCCTCCAAATTCTCTGCTTTCCTGTGTGACTCAGTTCTCTAACATGCTGTGTGTTCACCCGCCAGGATGCTAAGCAATGTGTTCAGCAGCGATTATCAAGTTCCTTCTTTGCTCAGAGAAGAGGTTGAAGCGTGCAAGAGAGTGTAAGAAATGCCATGCAAATCACTGCGGAGATTCCACAAAAACCTAAGACTGGAAATTTCGTTTGACCCTGGGGTATTCCATTCCTACGTATCTTCCTGAAAGAGGTCAACACTTCCTCTTACACAGATCCATGCGCTCCTGTATTTATAGCAGCACAACTCACAGTAACTACATCTTGGAAGCAGCCTCGATGTTGGCCAGCAGATGAATGGGCATGGTGTTTGTACACGATGGAATACTACTGTGCCGTAAAGAAGGCCAAACTTGAGAGATTCGTAGAAAAACAGATGCACCTTGAGACCATAATGTGAAGTAACTCGAGCACAAGCTTTAAAATCTAAAGAATGTTTTAAATGTCTAAAAAAATTATTTTAAAAGTCTAAAATATTAAAAAAGCAAGATAAAAGATAGGTAATAGAGAGGTGGGTCTTTTGCAAATGGGAAGGGAGTCTTGGAGGTGGGGAGACGGGGGAGGGAGGATGGGGGAGGGGTGTTAAAAATTAAGACGTGCTGTGTCCACCTATCGGCACCTCAATCATTAGAGGACAGAACACAGACACGTGGATAGAACACAGATAGAGGATGCAACACCCATCAGTCAGATTTATGGGTGCCCGACCATGTTTCATGTTTCATTGCACTTTGAAATCAGAAGAGGGGCTGGATGCAGCTCAGGGGTAGAAAATGCCCACTGCAATCCTCCGTACTGCAGAAATAAACCAACGAAACTAAAAGAGAATTAACGAAATATAAAAGAAAGTCATTACGGGCATTTGTGGCCACACGGTCACAGTGTGCTTTGGAGGTGCTCTCCTGTGTTTCTAGTCTTTGTGTCAGATGTTTAATAGTGAAACACACTGTGCTCCCCCACACACACCACCAAAAACACACACATACGCACATCATCAGAGTCTTAATGGGTCTGGGGCAAAGACCTTAGCCTGGTGAGCGCTTGCTTTGCTCAGACATTCAGCAGAGGATTTTAATGCAGAGAAGTCTTTTTCTTTCTGTTTTCAAGTGAACTCAATCAGAAAACTCTACCAGAGTCAGCACAAATCCCCCCAAAGAGGAAGGGGTAGTGCCTTCTGCTCACCCCAATACCATATCATGTTCTTCGCCCTCCACCCTGTCTGGGTGAGCTCTGGTCACCCTGCCTTCTCTTCAGCAAGAGTCCTGTTGGGTTGGTGCAGCTGGACTCTCTCTCATCCCAGAGGTGGTCTCTTCTCAGGAACTTGCCATCCCTGGGCCCCCTCCTGCTCCTTGGCTATCAATCCCCACCTGCTCATTCCCTGTTCAGAATTAAATGTCATCATTTTCCCCACTACAAGACCCCATTGGCCATGGTCCTGGACAGTTCCTTCGCCAATGTTAGCAAAGATCACTGGGGAATATGCTTGTCACCAACAGCATGGGGCTTTTCTACTGAGCTTGCAGAGATCCCTGACTGTCCCATTTTCCATCACCATCAACCACTACTATGTCACGCACCACTGCTCAGCTAACTACCCCCCTAGATCTCTCTGCTGGATGCATGGTGCCTCAGAGTTTGGCATCATGCAGTGTTCAACAGCAACACATTATATGTTAAGCAGAGCTTCTCCAGTTAGGAAATGCAAGCTTCTCTAATTAGAATGCCCTGAATTTCAAACAGACTGAGGTGTTCATGAAGCTAACATTGTCTCGTGTCAATGTATTAGTTTTCTTTTTCTGTTATTAGTTCTCTTAAGGAGAAAGTCACATAGGAGACCTTCAACATTCACAGCTAGAGAAGCGACTCCTGGGTAAGTTTAAATGCCTTGAGTGATTTTTTTTTTCATAATGGTAACTATGTCGTAACCCAATAAATAAGATTCCATCTTCAAAGAAGATGTCTCAGCTTGTCTCAGCCTCCCACAGTGATGGGATTACAGACATACACCAGGACAGCCAACCCAGGGCTTTCATATCAAAGTCTTGATTTCTGAAAAAATGATTTCCCTGAATACAGGAAAACTCAAGGTTTCACCTTGTAATATCTACTTGGGATGCTGGTGGTTTTCTAAAGCCAGACTTCCCAATGGAAATATGTTTGTAAGTACTTTGAACTGCTTGCCAAAATGTATACCATTGGGATCTAACAGGACTTGTAATGCATCATATTCCATATTTCCAAAAAAGAGCCCGTTTTCTTTAGTGGGCAGAGGACAATTGTCAGTACACTGGAAGCAGACGCTGTCTCTTGGTTCACAGACAACAAGGTATTTCTTCCTCTGTTTGCAGTTAGGTTCCAACTGTGTGGAATGTCAGAAGTTGCCCAAATGTCTCCCCCCATGGTCCTGTCACATGCTCTTTGCCTTTTGCTGTTCATTTGGGAATACACAGAGCTCCCACAAGAGCACACGAGAGTCCACACCCTTGAGTCACTGACCAGGACACCTGTAGATGGACAGGTGATGGCCCTGTAGGCAGGAATTCAATGATGTATTTGCCAAACCATCGATATTTAAAGCCTATTATTGCAGTGCCTGGAGTCCATCACCTAGACCAGTACAGGAGCTCAGCCACACAACAGGCCCTTAACATTTTAGGACAGTTCTTTGGATCTCAAAACAGGGCTTCAATTTACTGGTGTTAATTGAAATGGAAGCCCCATCTATATGAATGTCTCAATCAGGTAAATTTGGATAGAAATACAATGTAGGACGGTTTCTGAAATGGTACCCAAAGACCTATGTGTGGAAAGCTTAGTCCGTAATTCACTATAAAGGTGAATCATAAAGGCTGTAACTTCATCAGTGAATTAAGTGTGTGTTGAGATCAGGAGGTGATAGACATTTAGGAGGCAAAGCCTAGCAGAAGAGAGATAGTCGTGACTTTTGGGATTACATCTGAGTTCTCTCTATCTATATCTATATCTATATCTATATCTATATCTATATCTATATCTCTGCCTCTATCTCTCTCTCTTCTTCTCCTCCTCCTCCTCCTCCTCCTCCTTCTCCTTCTTCTTCTCCTTCTCCTCCTCCTTTTCCTTGTCCTCCTTCTCTTTCTCCTCCTCCTTCTCATCTTTCTCCTCTTCCTCCTCTTCCTCCTTTCCTGTATGCCATGACATAAGCAGCCACCTTTTACTACTTCCTTTCACCATGATATTCTGGCTCAACAGAAGCCTAAAATTGCAACATCCATGGACTAAAACCTCTGAAACCATGAGGCAAATTGAACCTTTCCTTGTTGGTGACAATGTAAACTAACACAATTGCTACATAAATCATGATGGAGATTCCTCGTAGAACCAAAACTCAAAATTTAATTTCACCCAGCTCTGCTTCTCCTGGATATTTCCCTCCAAATGCTAAAGACACTATAGTGTATTTGATACATGCCTACCCATGTTTATAACATAACAATTCACAAACGGCCCAACAATGGAACCAGCCTCCATGATCAAAAGCAGACACATGACTAAACAAAATGTGATATGTTTACCCTGGGGTATTACTGAGTCTTGACAAAGGATAAATGTGAGTCATTTGTAGGGAAATGTACAGAACTTAAGTGAAGTAAGTCAGATGTTTTAATTGCCACATAGTTTCTTATATGAGAAAATCAAAATATAAATAAAGAATTTTAAAAAGAAGAGCTTGTAGGGAATAGAAAGATAGATTTACTGGATGTGGGAAGGGGACGTGGAAGTAGAATAGAAAGAGAGGGCCAGAGAGGAGGGGGGAAATGGTATGAAAGATAATCAATAGTACACGAATAACTTTCTCAAAATGAACGCTGTTATTATGGGTTGCAGTGTTATTTACTTTCTCATCACTGAAACACAGTACCAACAGCCAGAATTGAAAGGAGGAGAGGTTGGTTTTGGCTCATGGTTTTAGTGGTTCAGTCCATGGTTGTCTGGTCCAAGGAAGAGACAGCATGGCAGTAGGGCATGGTGGATTATACGTGCTCACCCATAGCAGCTGAGATACAGAGAGAGAGGAAGAAGGATCAGGGAACAAGAATGCATCCTTCCAGGTCGTGGACACAGTGACCCACCACCTACCAAGTCCCATGGCCAACAGCTCATTTGCCTATGAGCGTGCGAGTAGAATAATCCATGGATGAGTGTAGAGCCCTCATGACCCAATCACCTTCTGAAAGCTCCACCTGTGAACGCGTGAATCTTTGGGGGACAGCCTAGATCTAAACCATAACCATCACCAACATGTGCCAATCAATTAAAATTTTCTCATCTTAATTCATGGATGTTAGATGTTTCATCTACCTTACAGTGGGACAGGCCATCAACTGACCACAGTCCAGAGTCAAATATACATGATTCTGCACCAGGAGATTAAGGCAGTGGAAAACAAGGAAGCTGCTGATGAATTAACTGTTGAGATTCTTTCTGGAATATGCTATTTTGCTTTACAGGTTATGCCAGAATAACAGATTTCAGGATACACTATCAGTCAGTGCCATATCCACAAATTCAACCAATTCAAGAGCACACACACACACACACACACACACACACACACACACACACTGATTAAATATTACTTCTCTGTTCAATATGTGGACTTTTGTACTTGTCACTATTGCCTACAGAATACACTATAACAGCTGTATCCATAGCATTGACATTATGTTAGGCTATGTTGTACTTTATAACTAGACGTCTCGAAGTTTCATGGGTTTATAGGAGGGGATTTTCAGGGGTGGCTGGATCTGGGGTATGTGTGATAGCTGAATTAGTCCAGCGATTGGCTTAGCACAGTTCCAGGTGTGAGTAAAGGGAAGGCACACTCTGAGTTTGGGTAGCCTCATTTTAAAGGCTAGTAGCTTGGATGGTATAACAGGGAAAGAAGGAGAAAGACCTTTG